TTACTGCATTGCAATAATCAAAAGACATTGAAAAAAAAGGACTGTCACAGATAAATTATTAATTGATCTCTTCAAATTCTTGGATCCATATAGTTCTGCTCATTATTGTTTTCTTTCCTTCTAAAGTGATCATCAAATTTTATTCTGTTTATCAGTTACGATGTAAGGGAGTTAATGAGTTTGCAAGTCAAACAGAATAAGTTGTATTCTCAGCAATAGAAAATCTAGTGCAGCACACATACATTGTACAACTCACATCTTTTAATCAAAAGTCCACCTCCCTTTATATGTTTATAATTAGTAAACATTTCCTAAAGATGCAGCATTACAATGTTGTCAGTGTGGTGCAATATGGTAGATTGATTTAAGAGTTAATTGATTTCTATTCATTATTTGTGCTGTTGAGTTACTCATGAAGCCATATGCTTCTTAACATTGAGAGAAAGTAGACGCCAACTCTGTGTCATCGTTGCAAATTCTATAATTAAGAAAAGTTTTGGAATATCAATATGACAGTGGTATCTGACATGTCACTTACGTGTTCCCTGTCTGTTTCTTTTGAATTGTGCAGTCACCAGTTTTGGTCTTCTAATATTATACAGGGCACCTGTTAACTTTGATATTTGTGTAGTAATTCTTTTTTCATATTTGACTGATGCAGGTTTTCTCATATTCTATGTGCATGGATAATTCCTGGGATAGTCTTTCAGTGTCTGTTATATCACAGGTAATAAAAAAAAAGTCTTCTTAGATAATTTAAGGCGTTTTTAGTATTATGATGAGCATCTATGCTGCTTCACAATTGATTTTTCATATTCTAAGACAATACATGTGATGAAGTTCTTACCAATTAATTGAGGCTGAATTATCTTTGGATTGTGAGTTGTTACTTTCAGAATCTTATGATGTTTTTGTTCAATTACTACTTACTATTCCAGTTCCTTTGGTACCATCCACCTGCAGGCCGCAACAGCCAACATGCCTTTTTACACTCCTACTGATATGTCTAAGAACCATTTGCACTTTGCTAAACTTAAGCTCTTTCTATAAAAGTGTGTATGTGGATCTGCAGAACAATAAGTTGATCTGCAGAATCATAAGTTGCTTTTTATTTACTTTTATATATATATATATATATATATTTTTTTTTTTTTAAATTTTTTTTTTTTTTTATTTTTTTATTTTTTTTATTTTAGTGCGCTGGCTTGGTAGGAATCATATCCTTTAATAAAGTTGGCTGCATATTTATGTGTTTAGAAAATTGTGGCCAGAGATTCCTAGTTGTAATGTCAAAAAGATTTCTGTCTGTAAAGACCTTATACGAGACTAGTTCTCTGTGTGTAATGTGTCAGTCACAGATTCTGAATTTTGGTTTTATTTTGATTCATTCAAAAGTGAAGAACTTCCCTGAATCTTTTCATGAAGTGGACAACTTTACCTATTTGGCCAGGGAACCTTCCATTTACAGACCGTATAAGAGATTAGTTCTGTGTGTGTATTGTCTTTGTCACAGATTCTGAATTGGTGTTTTATTTTAATTCTTTCAATAGATTGTGAAGAACTGCCCTGAATCTTTTTATGAAGTGGACAACTTTGCTTATTTGGCAATGGAACTTTGTTTGGCTTATCTTTACAAAGTATTTCAAGGGTACTGGAATCTATCAATCTACGCACTTATTTTTACTTTTTTATTTTAAACTTCTGATATCACCCTCAATCAGCTGAATGTTCATCCCTTTTGTGTTCAGTAGTAAGGCAATTTCTCTGGACAAACCGTCAGAGGATTTGATATCCACATTATTTATCACTGCAGAAACACTTGTAAACTGTTTTCAACCAAAGGTCAGTCAGGTGTATCCATTGTTATAAGTTTGAATGGGAATGATTTCTAAGTTCTACAATTGCCATGCACTTTTTTCGTAACTGTGTTTTTTACAGAATTCTTAACAACTGTGTTAATCACTAATTTTCATCTTTTCACTGAACTGCATGTTTTGGCTCGCAGACACAACTAGTCTCTGCGGCATTGGCGTTTCTTTTAATTGGTTACAAGGGAATCAGAGAAGCCTCGACTGAGTTTTATTTCTCCAAGGTGGACAAATTTTTCAAGTGCACAAGTCTATTATTGAAAAGATTTATTGATGGTGAGCATTGTAATAATGAAACTGATCTGACCAGTCTATTTATCCAATCTGATCAAAAACCAAAATTCTTCCATAGCCTCCATTTTCATTGTTGTCAATTTACTTTCCAACTAATTCCTACACATCTACATCCATTTGAGGCCTTTTTTCCTTCTATATTCATGTCAAAGACTATGCCAAATTTTTTTAATAAAACAGTGGCTTCTTGATTAATAAAGTTAGGCTAAACAGAATTCATTTCGCAGATAAATCCGGTGTTGGTGAAGATGGTCTTCTTCATATGCGAAAGTTATTGGGAACTTGTCTGAATGTGATGACTGATTTGACCGAGGATTGCATTAAGTCCATTCATCTGCAGGAAAATAAGAGATCCGACTTGCACATACTACTGCAAAGAAAGCTTGCTTTCTCTATTGAACAAACTATATCATTTGCCAAGTTGGGTTATGAAATGGATTATCTTGATGAGAATAGAGATGGTGACTCCGTCTATTATCCTATGTTTAAATACTGCACAAAATGTGTTCAAACTGTACTTAGCGATTCAAATGTTCAGGTACGTTCATATGCATTCTTTGTACTTTTATGGTCATTTTTACCAAGAATGTCAAAACTTCATATAATTTTTTTTCTATTGTGCACAGGTTCAATCAATTGGGTTACAATTGCTAAAAAGTTTGGTACAGAAAACCCCAAATGCGGAAGGCAACAATTTTTTAATGCTTTTTGTTGGGGAGCTTACAGCAGATTTTTTTGTGATAATCCAGAATGCTTTAAAGGTGTTTCAGACTATCCTTTTAGATAATTATAACCCCGTTTCCCATTTAGTCTCTGGTATTTGTCTTTCTGAAGGTCTTTTGTTGACAGAAACCTGTAACTGAAAAATCAGCAACTGTTGCTGGTGACTGCTTAAGACTCTTAGTAGTGCTGCAAACACTTTCAAAACCTAGTGAATGCCAGAGAGGTTTTATGAATTTACTCCTGGAAGCCGTAGTCGTGGTTTTCAAGGCTTCAGAGGAAGGTTCTTCACTGGTAATAAAATAAGCAGCCTCTACAGCCTTTAAAATTCAAACTGCCTTCTTATCACTTGTTTGACTGATGGTTTTCCAATCATGCATCATTGGCAGGAAGTCAATACATTAAGAAGCACTGCTGTAAGGCTTGTTTCTCATCTTGCTCAGCTTCCTTCCTCAGCAGTTCACTTCAAGGATGTATTGCTGTCTATGCCTGTAACACATCGACAGCAACTACAGGTGTCTTTTCCTTTTCCTTTTCTTTGTTGGGTGCACTTGCTTTTGCAGATTGAAGAATGGTATTCTATGCCGTTGTATTGGATATGTCTTGCAAAAGTATTTTGCTCTTGTGTTGGAACTAACCGGAAGACTTGGGAGTTGTAGGCTCAACTTTTTATGGACGCTTACAAACAGAATTTAAATGGAATCCCTTTGTGTCTTTTCAGGGGTTCATCCGTGCGTCTGTGACTCAAGAGCATAATGCAACAGAGCTGAAGCCCACAACTCCGTCCTTAGAGATAAAATTACCGGTTCCAAAAGAGGCAAGCAAAGAGAAACCTCTGCCATCAGCCACCACAGCGCATTCTGTTTCTGATGAACAAGAAATCGAAGAGGAAGAAGAGGATGAAGATGATTGGGATGCTTTCCAGTCTTTTCCTGCCGCTTTAAATGCAGCTGAAAGTGAACCGAAAGTAGAAAGCAGAGTGGAAGAACCTGACTTGGAAGTGAATACGCAGAGTGATTGCAGTCATGGAGAATCTATTCTGCAACCTCCCAACAACGTGGATGCAGTCAACGATACAGACCATCACGAGGCTGGTGAAAGGGAGGTGATATTAGATGCCCCTGATGGCCTAAAATCCCCACAGGGTAACCCACCAACCAACAATACTGAGGCAGAAGAACCCCGTGATCTCCAAACTAATAGCGGTATTATCGGGCCAAACGATGATCAGCCTTTGATGAGAGACGAGGAAGTGGTTTCCAGACAAGAAGGAAGGGCAGCAGGGTTGAACCAAGTGACGACTGAGCATTTGGCATCTGAACTTGATCATCCTAGTGAAGATGCTGAAGCATCAGTTGAGATGAATTTAGGGCATCATGTGCAGGAGAAAAAAGAGAAGCGTGATGATAAAGCAGGGCAGGTATCATCAGATCCTCTGCCACTTGATGAGGAAGTACGTGATAAAAGAGAAGACAAGGAAGAAGCAGCTTCCGAAAAGTCTCGCCTCGAGCAGTCTGGTTAAAGATTCATCGGAACCTAGACGGATGACGGATGGCGCTACGTTAAATTGAGAATTGTAGTACTCTTCTTTAAGTTAACAACAGTATTGATGTTATGGTCATTTTAATGAATCATAGAAACAAAAATTATGGTATGATGAGTGAAATCAGAACCCTACCCTTCTCACAAGTTACAACACCATTGCCTATTGGCTATTCGTCTGCCCTTGTATTATTATTTCATTTCCCTTGTGGGTCTTGATCAAACAATGATTTCCTCATAACCGTCTGGCCATCTTACCGGTAATCTCTACAAGAACAAACTCCAAGCAGCTCTCGTACTATGAATGGTATTGAATCATCAGCGACTCAAGAGTCGTTAGCTAGATTGACACTGACCGACTGAATCAGACCTAAAAACACATTATCATTTGAGATTCAATCAAAACGTTTCTACCATCAAAACTCAAAAGGGGTGTGCTATCCACACACCCCAAATTACTTCTCACACACCCTTGTTAATTTTTATCCGTTGATCTTCTTCAATTCATCCGATCCGACGGCCGAAAATTAGAAGGGTGTGTGAGAAGTAAAATGAGGTGTGTGGATATCACACCCCAACTCAAAACTGCAACCGTTTTTATTTATAACTTTCTCCAACATCCACAATCCCATCAACCCTGCCCTGGCGCATCATCTTGCCGCACCAAGTTACCAACAACAACAAAGCTTGCTATTCCTGTTACATATTCACACCTTAGTGCTAAGTGCTAACCCCCCCCCCTTCGCCACCAAACCAGAACTAACCAAAAATATCTTTCACCAGCAGCAGCAGGAGGCATGCCTACGACAGCACCACAAGCTACATTCAGATGTGTCTGCCAGCCAGTAAATGCTCACGCCGTCTGGTATACGCAGGATCTAAAACAAGATTAAAGAGAAATCAATTAGCAATATGCTGCTTTTGAGAGAAACAAACACCCAAAATTAAGAATTCATCATGCAACAGATTATGCTTTCTTTTTGGTATGTGGAGAGTTATGGAGGGAAGGGAGGGCGCACCATTGCTGGACCTTCCTGAACTCTGTAAGGACAGGGTATATGTTTTCAAAGGCCTTGTATGTGTCATCCCTCACCTATGAGGTCAAATTAAACAAAACGTTAGCAGATCGTCCAAACACAAAAGCACGAGTTATTAAAATTAGATAGAACAACAAATCACCTTTGCACCCGTAATAACAATTTTCCCTGACACAAATATAAGAAGAACAATCTTCGGCTGCTTCATTCGATATATCAGCCCCGGGAAAAGCTCTGGCTCATACTGCACCCAAATAACACAAGATAATACTAGTTCTTCCTGAGACCACTACGAAGCATACACTTCCAGCCACTACGATGTTTTCATAAGTCAATTAAAAACAAAAGCAAGAGGACATATTCCATACAAGGCCTTACTTTGTACACCAAACTAAAGCATCAGAACTGCTGAATTTTGGTAGCACTCATACCCTAAGTAAAACTATAATCTAAATGAGCTATATTTTAGCCTGCAACAATCTGTTTGACCCCATATGATTCATGTACTGAGCATATACATTGTCTTATTGATACAAAGTAAGTTTTCAGTCTACAACTATTGGGTCTATACGGTCCTTGTACTGGTCCAATGTATGTGGGTTCATTGTATTGGTTAAATGAATGTGAGTCCATTGTAGGTCTGGAGTCGTGAAGAAAGCAATACACCCAGTTTCAGCAAACTTTCTATGAAATTCGCTTTGCGTTTTAAATATTTACAATAGTGTTTTAAGCAATGCACTCCTAGTTTCATAAAACTTTCTTCGGAGGCATGCAAAATACGTGGATCTCATTGATTATAACCCTTAAAATGAAAAATACCCACATAAGAAGATAACTTGATTGTAAAAACATTGGCATCAAATCATAAAGGAAATCTAAAATCAATAGACAAAAATTATGAAACAAAAACAAAAAACATGAAGAAAAAAAAACCCTATAAATCATATCGAATCATATTAGTGTTATGAAATGCTAAAGCCTGGGACAGATGGTTCTCACTTACACTTGAAAAGGCACCATGGGAGTATGCAAGACCCTCAAGTCTTATCGGGAATTTAACATCACAGGAGCCAACAATATTTTGAATCTTGAAATCCTGATGCTCAGACAAGCATGTATTAAAAGAAGTAATTAAAAAATATAATATACTCTTAAAAGGTTGAACACATGAGAGAGAGAGAGAGAGACCTTGAACTTAGCATTAAACCCAAGCTTCTGGATGATTCGGGCATACTGGGAACCAAATATATCAAATCAGATAAAAGAACTCTGACACTATTCCTTGCAACCTAATAAGATTCACTCTTCTAACTAAATGAAAAGATAAATTATGAAAAAATAACCATCGATTCTAAAACCACTTCCACTCCTGACCGCGACCAGTAACAAATGAAAAAATATTTAAAGTTGCAATACTTAAGACTGATGCTCCATGCTCCAAAGCATGGGTAAAAGTCCACTGTCACTCTACTCCAGACTTAAAATGCCTAAAATCAGGTCAAAACTTACGAAAACTCACATATATCACTATGTTTTTTGCTATGTTAATACCAATCTGTAAGCATTCAACAGATACCTTCCTCGCTGCCAGTTTTGATTGCTGTTCACTTTTTGCACCAGTGCATACCTGAAGTACCATAAAGATTAAAATTTAAATCTATTAACCAGAGGCATCCAAGGTATGATGGGTGCATAACTCAAGATTTAAAATCATAAATAAGGGAGAGCGGGGAAAGGAGAGGGTGTATATCAAGTTGAAAAGGGTCGACAAAATGCAATGCAGTAGTTACCAGGGTTGTGACATGAGTAAACTTAAAGCCAAATTTATTACCATAGAAGTTTAGTAAATAAACATACTCATAAAAGGATCAGTCCATCACCAAATATATAGCTTAAGCATCAACATACCATACATTTTCGACAAGACATGCAATCCAGAAGGACCATAACCAATCAAACATACACTTTAATTCAGATGCAATAGTCAAAATTAGCAACCAAAAAATGCTCTCCTGTAAAGGATATTCTCTGAATTAAGCAATATCATTACTTGACTGCACCCAAAAATTGATACACTCATCATGTAGGATTCCAAACGCATTCCGACAAATACATAATCATCTTTGAATTTGATGCAACGCATCAACAGGTAATAGTGCAATCAGATGGGGTACGATTCAAATAAGATAAACTGTTTTATCAGATCTCACTAATAGGCATAGATTTAAAGAACAAAGACATTTTCCACAAAAGAAGGAACTGAACAGGAGCAAAAAGATTCAAAAGCAAATCGCTTCCAATAATGATATTACAACAAAGCAAATACAATCCTCAAAAGTTTTTGGGAGGGCTCACCATCTTCCCAGAGGCAAAAATCAAAGCTGTAGTTTTAGGCTCCCTTATTCTCATAATTACAGCAGCAAAACGCTGAAAGACCATTGAATTAAAAATAAGTTAGTATTCAGTACTCCAAAATGTCTAAAGAGCCAGAAAATATGCTAACAAAACCAGACTTTACTGTAGGTATGGTTTCAGGTATAAACAATGGCACACGCAAGACTATATCAGTAAAGTGAGCTAGCACCACTAAGGACCCTCTATAAAGTATTTTAGTGAAGTGAGCAAGCACCACTAAGATTATCAACATACCACTGGAACGAATTATACAGCCAAGCTTACAAAAACCCTTGCATACCTTGGGGTTGTACTCTGCATTTCGAGCTTGCAACGCAATTTGCTTAAGATCCAATTTACAATCCAAGTTAACTGTAGATACGATATTCCTACAAACACAACCATGGGCAAGAATAAATCATCACTATTCTTCTTCAGAAATAAAGAACTTTATTAATCACAGAAGGGAGGCGTATAGGGTTGATTAAAAAACATTGATTATGCATGGGAATAGTCCAAGTCTTAATTTTCTTCGAAAAATAGAACTTTACCGCTAACAAACAATAGAACTGCAAAAAGAAGAAGTGATCAAGAAGGCCACCACAGAACAAACAGAATGCAAAGACTATCAACCAGCTGCTTCTGATGACAAGTGCTAGCCACAGCTTCATTTCCAATAACAGAGACTAATATTTAATGAAAGGTTTCATTGGCAGATAAAACTCAAGTCCTACAAGCTTTAGACAAAGGACACAAACACACACAACAAAAAAATTCATGTGGGTTGGGTGAAAAAGTCAACTTCCACCACAAAAATGGGCAAATTTCCAACTTTTCAAAAACACAAAGCATCTCACGGATACAAATGAAACAGTAGAACCCATAATTTTGCATCTCCGTTTCCCTGCTGAAAACCACCATAACCCCGTAAACTCCGAACAGAAGCTCGCGAAACCAATCAGATCGAAGCAAACCCACAACGCAAAACTCGATTCAGAAGCCATGTACATGGATATTGGATCGAGAAAACGAAACTAGAAACTTCAAACGAAATGAGGGAGAGAGAGAGAGAGAGAGAGAGAGAGAGAGAGAGAGAGAGAGAGAGAGACTTACTGAAGAGTGGGAACAATGCCAGAGGGGTGAATGGAAAGATCCACAGGTTGGCTCTCTTCTAATCCACCTTGATCCCCCATTCCCAGTATCCCACTTCAAGGCTTTGTCGATTTTCCAAAAATACTACTTTACGGTAAAGAAATATATCAAATCAAAGTTTAATTCTTTAAATTTTCTTCTGGGTTCCAAGCAATTGGTCTATTGATCGTCCTCAATCAGATCTGCACAACCTCCTTTTTCCACAATTTCTGAGCTTTCAATAATCTAGGGTTTCGACAATAATCGGGAAAGAAAATGAAAAGTTGAGAAATTGAAATCGGAGAGAATTCGCGGGAAACTTGGGAAATGGGGGTAGGAATTTTCAAAAAAGACGTTCTTTTATAGGTTTTGATGGAAGAAATTGGAGAGAGATGAGGGTGAGGGGGTGGGTTTTGTATCTCAGCGGAGGAAATGCGAATGAGGATTATATGAGATTGTGAGGAAGGCCTTCCCCTTTTGTTGTCTGGCTTGGCTTCGCCGCTTTGTCGTTTTTCTATATATATAGGTCCACCGGCTTTTTCTCACCTAGCCAGTCAATCCCTTGCAATTACCGTATATTGCCCGTTTGGTCTTGTGATTTTAAATCTTCCCTGCTCTATCATCTATCTCATTTGTTGACACTTAAAGCAATTCCACCAGGAAACTGATAGGCCGGCACCCAACCAAAATAATGGCCCGGCACCCAGGCTTTCCACTCTAGCCCAGCAGATAGGCTGGCACCTAGCCCAAGTTGATCTCAAGGCCAGCCCAAAATCGACAAAGGCACGGACCGGCCCGATTGACGTCATCTCACGCTTACACCCTCAACCTCCGCCTCTGGTGGCCATGAAGCCAATCATGTCGTCCCTCTCCCCAACCTCCCTCTCCAAATCCCGAATCCTGGCATTGGAATCGTCCTGGGTTTTCTCCAGCTCTAGAATCCTTGCATGGAGGTGGCCAAATTCTTGATGAGCGGCGTCAATTTGGTGTAGTAGCCGCTTCTCCTTGGCTTGCCAAGAGTTGCAGTGGCTGGCAAAGATCTCGACGACCCTGGCGTTGGCTTTGGAGTCCTCTTTCCGGCGGGAAGTCATGAGCTTGACTTGCTCTTCCGCCTGCCACATTTGGGCAGAGAGCTTGCCCACTTGGGTCTGGAGCCTGAAAGTTGTCGAGAGCTAAAGCCAGGAAAATGTCCAGGCTCAGGCCAAGGTAGGAGCACAATAGCTTCTTATGACTGATGTTGTTGTAGTTTGTGCCCGTTTTCAGCCATGACTGACTGGAGAGACATCGAGAAAGAGCTTTTGGGATTGTGTTGGATTGGTAAGTGAGTTGCTTTTGGGTGTCTGTGCGTGTTTGTGACTGAGAGGAAAAATAATAATATTTTAATAAAATTGACTAGTAATTTTTTGTTAGGTTTGGAGATGCATTTGGTCTATTAGGGTGCGTTTATTGTACCAGAATATCTCGGACTGGACTAGCTTCAGGGACTAAGTTAGACTGGCTTAGACTAGACTAAGCTGGACTGACTTAGTGAAGCGTTTGATGCAGTGTCGGACTAAAAAACAGGATAACAACAAATTCTAATATTATATTTTCTCATTCATATTTTATTAATATTTTATATTATTTAATACATATTTAGTAATATTTTATTACTACCACTGTCTATTTCTTTTATCATTCTGGAAACTCCCATCTCCATTCCTAATTTTTTTTTCCTCTGATCTTCCTTTGTCTTCCTAATTTGCTCCGACCCTCTCCCTCTCTTCGTCATTTTCTTTTCCTTTCCAGTCTCTCCTCCCTCAAAACATCATCATTCATCACCCCTTTTTGTTCTCTCTTTTTTTCCCTTTCCTTTTCTTTGCTGTTGTGATTCCTCTAAATTATTTATGGCACCACATATTATGATTTCCCAACTTCAAATCCCACGCAAAATTGAAATCGTGCAGAGGCTCCTCTCTGCGGCGTCATGGATTTCACAACCACTATGTTTCTCGCCCCTCCTTTGATTTTCACAGAAAATCTCTTAATTTTTTGGGAAAAATGAAGAATTTTTCTATTGAGTTTGTTGTTGTTATCGAATTGATTTTTTTTCTTTTCAAATTTTGGTGGTTGGATGTTGAGAATTAGGCGGTGGGTGTGGTGGGTTTCAGGTCTAGGTACAGGTGGCCAGAGTTGCAGAGAAGCAAACTTTGTATGCAGCGTGCAGACTTGCAGCATGAAGAGGATGGAGCAACTGTCGCCGTGGTGGCCGAGTTCAAGCTGAGCTCGAATCTCGGCGGAGCAGAAAAAGAAGAAAGCGAGGAGATAGGAGGAGGGGATGGGGGAATTGGTGAGGGGCAATGATGGTGGCTCTCGGCGTTTGTGAAAACATAGGAGTAGAGGAAGACGAGAGGGAGTTAGTCCTCACTAATCCCATGGTTCTCGACGGGTTTGCTAGCGAAGGAGTTAGTCCCCGCGAGTCCCTTCTAATCTCATTAAACTTAGTCCCAGACTGTTAACAAACACGGGATTGGACTACTACATAATCCAGTCCAAGCCAGCGAAAGCTAGCAAGCTCAAACAAACGCCCCCTTACTATTTATTGTGGTCTATCACTGTTCAGTGAGTGGATAAATACGTTGGGTGCTGGCGCATTTGTGTTAGGGGTGGAAGTGCTCTTAGTCACTTTAAACTTCACTTTACAATGATAACCCTTTAACTTATATTTTCAATAAAAAAAATTAAAAACCAAAGATAAAAATTGTCAAAATGACACGTGTCACTCAAGTAAATAGGTCATTTTAATTGCAGAAATTTTAAACTTTGTGTTTGTCCAAGCAGGATAAAGGTTGGCAATTGGAGTTCACAAGTTGAATTTGTGTCAACAACATGATTAAACTCAATTTCAACATCACAAGATTATTTTGTTCAAGAAAAACTTCACAAGATTATTAATTGAGTCATTTTTTTCTACAACAAAATTATTGTATGTGTTACTCGATTAACTCCTTCAATGTTCATGAATCCATAATTATTAATTAAATATACTACGCTTCTTATCAAATTCAGTGTTAATTCTTAAAGAATCAACAAAGAGAAGGTTGTTTCGAACTTGGCATCTCTCATAAACATATTTGGTACTTTATAGCTTCTATAGTCTATTCCGTAATAAAAATGTCACCATGCACGAAGGGAGGCAAACCATATTGTTCACAAGTTAACAGGTTTGGTCTTGGCTACACTAATGCAATTTGGTTCAAGGAGCCATCGGATGTCATAACATATGTCCTGATGAATTAAAGCTATATATTTTGTTTCTTTGTAGCAAGGCACTCTTTTTTCTCAAATTTAGAATGCTTGACAATGTTTATTTTGTTGAGAATGAATCTCAAATTGGTGAGAGGATGGATCTTGTGCTCCACGTCATCCGAGTTGTATTGTCCACGTGTTAGACTTGAAAATTCGACACACGTGAATGACATGTTAAGAATGAATCTCACATTAGTGAGAGGAGGAACATTGCATGTGCTTATAAGTAGTTGGACTATTTCTCATATTATCAATTAATTTTATAGTTGAACCTCAACTTATTCATATCTCATAGCTGTTTTTTTTTTTTTTCCCGTAGTACTTACCCTCTTGTACATATGTTCGTTATCTTATTAACAATTTAACACGAGCAACATACACATGATATTCATGTGTGAGAGGCTATAAGGAGTTGTAGAATATAGAAAAATTAGGACAGCGTGTGACACATTAAAGAAGTAAGGGTTAATAAAATGAACAAGGGGATAAATACCTGGGAATCACTCAATCAGGGGGCAACGAATTCGCTCAACGCCGCTAATCATGGATTCACTTAACATGGCCAAACCTAACACTTGATTTAAGAAAGGAGAAAACTCTCTCTTCTTAGATTACTTTTTTAATTCACTAATTGGCTGATTTTTTACTATATAAGGATCCAACAATAACTGATAGGATAAATATTCAACACTAAAGATTATAGTTTCTAAACATCTAACTAAAACATGGCTTTGAAAGATGAAAAACCACCAACATCCACATTTAATATAGGGATCATACTTCTTGTAGTACCTACATCAGGGTGAGTTGTAAATTGAAATAACCTTAACGCCCTTAGTTTTATGAGCAATTGTTAAAAAGCATTATTACGTTAAAGGCAAATTTGAGATTTCATCCTCATTGGTTGACAAAGAAAGTTCTCCTAATAATAGTGTGCGTGTATATATACCGTATATATTTCTCAAATATTAGTGTCTCAATTGTACCCAATAAGACTTATCGTGATTTGGAAAAAACCCTTCAGGTTCTCAAAATCAAACTACCACCATTGAGGTTTAAATCATTACCACATTACACCATTCGTTAGAATTTCTGACTGGCTAGGTTTGGATAAGAAGATTAACTAGCTAGGTTTGGTAATACGAGGAAGAAGTAGTGTTCAAAATATCGGTATCGTGGGTTTCAGATTACAAGTTATTAAGAAGGAAAATAAGGTGGCGCTAGTTCTGGATGAAATGGGACATCCGGGGGACTTGTGAGCAACCTCAGCTTACAACTTCTCCAAGTGACATTTATCACCCGGAGGAAGTACGCTGCCAACAGCTGGATCTGAAATTTTATCACATGCACTGCTTATTTATCAGTGGATTGGGTTACGACTACCGCCCTCGGAAAGATCTCCAGATGTGATGGCCATGAAATCATGAATTTGTGGGCATCGTTTCTTCTGGTCCACCTGGGCAGTTCATACAGCATTACTGCTTATGCATTTGAGGACAACAAGCTGCTACCAAATCTTTTTGCTTGCAAATTGCTATGCCGATGTGTCTGGCTGGAAGTATGAAATACGCAGAGAAGACTTGGATGCTCGGGTCTGCATGCACATGGAAATTCAAGGATAAGAAACCAAATGCAAGTAGAGTTGTGCATACTGGTGCCAAAGATGGTTACCTACGCAAAGGCATTAAGCTATTCAAGGTGTTAAATGTTTTCTTTTATTTTCTATGCAAGTAACACCCTTAATTATTATAGATTGAGATTTTATTTTAGTTCTGCAAGGAATGATTCTGTGGAAGATGTAGATTAATTGCTTTGTTTGCTACATGTTGACCCTTGTTTTATTTGGTCTAGTCATTGATAAGTATTTTTATTCCGCCACATACATGGCTCTTTCTTACTGTTATGAAATGAGTGTGAATGTCCACATAAAGTAAGCATGTGAAAGACGAAAAAATGAAAGTCAAGATTACAGGCTTAATAGTGGAAGTTTGGTTTTCACTATTTTAGAATGTAAATATTCTTCATACGTTTAAAGAAGCGTCGGATGAAAACATATATATATATATACATGTGCTTATATCCTTAGTACAACACACAAAGATCAATAAGAGAAAGTGAACCAATCTCTCTTTCCTCTCTTCACCTGTATTCATGTGTGATACAGCTAAAAAAATAAAGGGTTTTAAAAAACACTCATTGT